GCGCTGCTGACGACGACGGGTAGCGCTCTTGCGGGTGCGCTTGGTGTTGTGCTGTTGGCGGCGCCGGATAGCGCTCTTGTTGGCGCGCTTGACGTTGCGCTGCTGACGACGACGAGCGGAGATCGTTCGTACGCGGCTTCGCGGTAGACAGTGGCGAGCGGCGATCGAAACCGTTTTTAATGATTACTACTCTGAGTGGTGATGTCTTGCGGTGTGTGTACCACTCGCAAGCAATCGCTCCATTCAGCGGTAGTTCTCACTATCAAATATGGTTTTTCTACCTTTGAGGGGTGATGTCTTGTGGTGTGTGTACCACTCACAAGCTATCNGTGTGATGTTTCGTTGCCATGGTCACAAAAATGCTGTCGTGTGTTGCTACGAGCTGTGTTGCTATGAGTTGTGTTGCTTTACTGGCTGTTGTGCGGTGTCGTATTGCCGCTTATGTTGTAGATGTTTGTGTGGGCTAAATTTCATACTGAACATTTAGTCCTCACACTATAATAAAATAACATGCAGATACTCCATTATACTGAAAATTGTATGTCGTCGTTTAAAGTACAAAACCGCGTATCGTCACTCTCCAAAACCGCGTTACTGACATTTGCTGCCAAATATTGGATTTGATTACACAAGCTCTTGGCTCAATCCTTATCAATTCGTCCTGAAATATACTAGCCAGAAATGCGATTGCTTTATAAAAAAAAGAACCACTTTGAAATATGAGTGTTTTTACTCTCTAGAAAATAATTTATGCAACCTCACATACGCGGTTGTGCATTTTGTTGATACGCGGTTTTGTAGTTTAAACGACGATAGATATTACCACCATAATTCATATATTTGTGCATATTCCTACATTCGTTGCAACCGAAAAGCATTTGCATTCACTACTTACATATGTATACATATGTATATATGTATGCTGTATGCATAACCAAAACAAACGCGAAAAATATCTCCCATACATCGTCGTAGAAAATTATTCGCGATAAGCTGTTGTGAGTGATCGCGAATGGATTACTTGCATCGTTTTTTCTCATTTATGAGAGGCCGACATCGGCAATGCTCGGACTTCTCATATTCGAGTGAGAGGAAATTTCTTTGCTTTTCTCGATCGCGAATGAAAAGCAGCGGAAATTTTTTTGTCGATCGCATTCTGAATGTGGGAGATGAATAATTTGTTTGCATTTTTCACTCGTGATAAAAGAATGCAAAAATAATTGTGGAATATTCTTGATCGCGAACGTGAGAGAATGTGAGTGAAAACTTCCGAATCCTGGTAACCACGCCCACTCCTCATATAACGGTATTTTCGAAAAATGCTAAAACTACGATATTTCAGTAAATATTGAATCCAAATTGTTGAAGATTAGTATGTGAAGTAGAATTTTGGTGCGAAATAATATTTTTTTTTGTTAATTTTATTGGGGCGTATTAACATTTTTATTTAAATATTTTGTTTGAGCTTTGTACCACGATTTTNATCCAAATTGGTGAAAATTAGTATGTGAAGTAGAATTTTGGTGCGAAATAATATTTTTTTTGTTAATTTTATTGGGGCTTATTAACATTTTTATTTAAATATTTTGTTTGAGCTTTGTACCACGATTTTGTTTATTAAGGAAAAATTGAAAAAAAAAACAAAATTCTTAAGCGGTAGAAGTTATAGCAGCTATTTCGGAGATCACTACATCTCCTCATCAGACTTATTTTTTCTAGACCTAGCAGGGATCGAACCCGTGTCATCGATGTGCAAAGTCAGAAGCTCTTGCTAATTCATTCCCTTATTCAACGTACTACCATAAATTACAGCTGATTTGCCGCTGTTTAAACTTGACAGCGTGGTTGCTGTTGTAAATTCTATACATTAATTTTGATTTTGCTTTATTGTATGTATAGTTTGAGGCAGGCTTATCCTAAACTATGTATTTGTCAATTTTGTTGTGGCTTATTAACATTTTTATTTTAATATTTTTATTGAGCAAGATGCAAAAGCGGTTTGAACCGCTAAACCGAACCTATAAAATTTTTCAACCGGTTTACGTCCCTTATTTGCATTACATTAATTTTTTAGCGGTTAAAGCCTCATCTTATCTTCTACATTCATCGAAAATATATGTACAATGTTAATTTAATGTTCTTTAAAATTTCCAAATTTGTATTAAAAGTAGAAAACAGTAAAACTTTGTTTTCAAACAAGAAAATTACATACTTTTTTTAGGATGTTCGGAGGTGTGAGATTGCCCGCAGCTGGAAAATATGCAACGGGAATTATATATTGTGATGAAAAAACGAGTTCTGAAGTCGAAGTCGAATTTGCTCAACTAGCACTTGAATTAAACTTAAAAGTAATTGCGTGGCGAACTGTTCCAACAAATAAAGATGCTATTGGTGTGGTCGCACGGAAATCTGAACCACTTTCCCGTCAAGTTTTTATTGAATGTCCTTCAGATCTCGACCAAAAGATTTTTGACCGTCAAATATATGTCTTACGTAAGCGCTCCAGTCATGAGTTAATTAAAGAAGGACGACGTTTTTACATTTGTTCATTATGCTCGAAGACGATAGTTTATAAAGGATTGTTCACATCTGACCAACTATGGGGGTATTATACCGATCTTAAAAACCCTGATTTCGAAACATATTTGGCTTTGGTCCATACGCGTTTTTCAACAAATACTTTCCCGTCTTGGGAACGTGCACATCCATTACGGGTAATAGCGCACAATGGAGAAATAAATACCTTACGCGGAAATGTTAATTTGATGAAAGCCCGTGAGGGCGTTATGCAGAGTGAAATATTTGGAGATCAGTTAACAAAATTATATCCAGTTGTAGAGCCAAATTTATCAGATTCCGGCTCATTCGATTGCGTTCTTGAGTTTCTTACAATGGCTAGTGAACGTTCATTGCCAGAAGCTGTTATGACTATGGTTCCCGAAGCGTGGCAAAATGATAAAACTATGCCGCAAGAAAAACGTGACTTCTATCAATGGGCGTCATGTGTAATGGAGCCCTGGGATGGACCGGCTTTAATTTCATTTACAGATGGACGTTATATTGGCGCAGTTTTGGACCGTAACGGATTGCGTCCATCTCGATTTTATGTGACACGTGAAAATATCCTTGTAATGGCTTCTGAAGTTGGCGTTTATGATATTGATGCATCGCAAATAGTATTAAAGAGCCGTTTGAAACCTGGCCGAATGCTTTTAGTGGACACTAAAGAGAAAAAATTCATTCAGGATGTGGAGATAAAAACTCACATAGCTAGATCCCGCCCGCATTCGGAGTGGTTACAACAAAAGGTAAATTTTATTATACACATATGTGCGTATGTATTTTAAGGAGTAATCCATCTAGACCTGTGTTTATTAAATTTTAATTAAAAAACACAAAACAGAACTGGAAGTCTGAACCTTTATTATTACCCGAAAGAACAATCTCTGGCTTATACTTTTTAAAATCATTTTATTTAAATGTCAATATCGGGCGCTACCTCACCATGATAAGGGACTTTTTGTTGCCCGAAATTGAAGCTCGTGATGTCGGCAATATTTGGTTGTCGTGCGATATCCCTCTGGATTTTTTCTTTGGGGTTATGTGAAGTCAAAAGGCGTCGTCGATAAGCCAGCCATATTTCAAAACTTGAAAGCCAACACTACTCGCGTAGTTCGCGCAATTATGGAAAGAGTAAATGAAAATTGGACCTTCCGAATGGACCACCTACAGCGTAGTCGCGGCCAACATTTAAATAAAATTATAATTTAAAAGTAAATGCCAGAGATTGTTCTTTCGGGTAATAGTAAAGATTCCGATGTCAAGTTCTATTTTAAGGGTTTTATTTAAAATCAAAAAAAAAAAAACAAAGATCTAGATGGATCACCCGATATACGTAATTTATAATTTCTTTATAATCTATTCAACCTCTTTGAAAATACTTTTCTGTAATGTGCAGTTAATCGAGCAATTAGCCACACTATCTCGATTGAGCTGCTAATTGGGCTCCATTTACCATACAAAACTGCAGCGCTTAATTGCTCGTCTAGTGTTTAATTTAATGAATTTTTTCATGCATCCCTGCTGGGATTGTTTATTTTTTACAGCTTATATTCCACCAGGAATAGAAATTTGAATTTTCAAATTGTAGTACGGAATTTGCGGAAAAAGTTTACCTAAAAGTAGGTAAATGCTCCTAAAAAGTAAATATGTTTTTGTTTGTATGTGCATAAATATGTACGTATGTATATTAGGGTACCCATTTTTTTTGAAATTTCAAGACCCTACCCCTAATTTTCTTTAGTTTTATGAGACATATTTTTATAGATTTTTAAAATTCATTTAGAGGTTGCGACGTGTCACTTTAGGTCAGAAAGAATGGTTTTGTAGATTTATAAGTTTTTGGATGACTAGTTTTCATTCATCTTTAAAGATCGACCATTTTGTGGGAAAAGGATTTATAGTCCTTTAACCTTCATCCGGATTTGGTGTCAATTTGACACTGTTTTTGATTTATTTTCGTTGTTACATAGATACATTTAAAAAAATGTACTTGATATCTCGGCTTATTAGCTAAATCATATACAAATTTTGTATTTTTTTTCATTTATGACATTTTAAAAAGTCCCGTTACTTCTGAACAAAACGTTTTCTTAATTCGGACTTGAAGTATCAAACTGACTGTATGGGAAATACTTATCTATTCTTGATTATCTCTTCTTTTAAGCTATTTTTTCTTGTTTATTATTGGTTCAGTCTTAGCCATTAATAATAAAAAAACAAGTAAGAAAGTCTAAGTTCGGGCGGAGCCGAACA